TTTTTTCTATTTTTTTGTTGTTATTATTTTCTTGTTTTTTTTTTTTTTTTTTTTTTTTTTTGATTTTAATTAGTTTGGTTTGGGAGTTGGGATACAAAGGGAGTACAGTGCATTTAGTAGATTGTCAATCTTGCTGCTCATTTCGTTTGCAGTCCGTACGTTGCTCTCCAGTGCTCGTATGAGAGGCTGGTCTCCCATGTGTTGTTGCTGCTGGTTTTTGGTGCTGCTCGGCCAATAATTTGTTTTTAAAGTTGTTTAGGTGCCTTTCAGCAGGATTGCGAAGCATTGTAGGTTTAACCTTGGCAGTGTCAGCTAAGTTGATATTTCGTTGTGTTGGGTGGATGTTGTGTTGTGCTGTATACTGTGGTTTAGTTGTTTTGTTGATGGTATATTGTTGCAGCGGCTGGATTTGTGGCTGTGGCGTTTGTTGATTTACTTGTGGGGGGGGTAAATTAGGTGAGTCTAGTGGTGCTTGCTGTGGTGAGGGCTGTGACTGTATGTGTTGTCTATTGTCGGGTTCACGGAGTGCTATCAGTTTATTCTGTGCACTCTTGAAAGCCGGGCAGCCCTTGTAGCTAGCAACATGTTTGCCACCACAATTCGCACATTTGGCATCTGCGTCTATTGTTTTGGCGCACGTAGTGGTAGCGTGGGGTCCTGCACATTTTAGGCATACAAAGGGTCTACGACAGTAGTTTTTGCTGTGTCCAAATGATTGACAGCGATGACACTGTAGTGGATCAATGCGTCTGAGTTGTTTTTCAACGGCAATATTTTGATGTCCTAGTTCAGTTAATGTAAGTATTTTTTCATGTCCACCATCCAATCGAGGCTCCAGTTCAACTTCAAAAATGTTCATTGGCTCGTTTCTTGTTCTGTGTTTGATAACACTTACATGTCGAGTTACGTAACCAAGTTCTTTGAGCTGGTCGCGGATCCAGTCATATGGTGTGGAGTAATGGAGATGGCGTATTATTATGCGGTATCCGCGATCTTTGCGTAGCTGGTAGGTATGATTGTGAATTTGTTTGTCTTGCAGAAGGGCACTGATGGCATTGTATGTGGAAATGTTTTCACATTGGATTCTGATCCCGTTGTCTTGTGCTACCTTGGTAGTGTAGCTGCCAATGCCAGGTAGCTTGTTTATTGTATCTAGTAGTGGCTGGATTTCGGTAACATTTGGGAGGAAGAGGGATGGAATTTTTGAGCTTTGCGGCAGGTTGGGCTGAATATCTTCTTGAGGGTGGTCTAGCAGTTGAGTATGCTGGGTATTTGTGTGGACGAGTATATTGTTTGAGTCATCTAGTTTTTGTCTGCCAGTGTCTGAAGTGTCATTTGGGTTAGTGAGTGTCTCAAAGTCCATGAGTTCATTGCAGTCATTTGCTGCATGAATTGCAGTTTTGATGATAACTTTAGCAAAGTCTTGTAGTTTTACAATAGGGTTTGTGATATTATTATTATTAAATAATTTATCAGTTGGAGAGTGTATGGGGCGTTTGGGGTTACGTTGCTGCAGGCTCATTGAAATTTTTCGTTTGAGGCTTTTTGAGTTTGTGTGTTTAGTGATCACTGTGTTTTTTAATTTATGGATGTAACAGGGATCCCTTAGTATTGGTGTGGTTGGTGGATCAGAATAGGTTATATTAAGTTGTTGGTTGATGGCTGGAGGCTGCTCAGAGCTTGGCGTTAGTGTTGCTATTTTATTGATTGTGTTATTTGGCGGCAAAATTGGCGCCAAATTTTCTTTTGCATTTGCAATGGAGTCGTTTGACAGCAATTTTGGCATTATACGTTGCTGTGGTTGTTGTAATGCTGTCATTTTTGGCAGGAAAGATGGCGACTTGGCGCGGTGTACATACTTTGATGGCTGTGACGTCATGGTTTTTGACAGTAGTAATGGCGGTAAAATTTGCGTGGGCGTCACTTTTGGCGCGCTACTTGGCGTCGGAGTTCGGGCTTCCTGTATGGATGCAGTAGTTTCTGGTTCATTTGGCGGGAGGAGCGGGGGTTGACTGTCGTTTGCTGGTTTATGGAACGTGATGTTTGATGGCTGTGGATCGCTGGAAACGTGTTGGCTGTCGCTAGCACCCCCATGGATGATGGAAGAGGAACCTGTTAGAGAGGAGTTGTCCCAAGTCGAGACAGAGGGGGAGCAGTCTGTGCCAGGACGAGACAGGCTTCCATCCAGTGATGAGTCCCCTGTTTGATGATCAATAGACGAATTACAAGTGGCGTGCGACGCCATTTTCCTTTTTTTTTTTTTTTTTTTCTATCTTCTTTTTTTTTTCACTCTTTCATTTGTTTTAAATTTTTTTCTTTTGTTAAAGTTTTTTTTAAAGTTTTTTTTTAAGTTTTTTTTTAA